ATATATATATATATTATAATATTTTATTTTTTCTACTGATCGATTGATTGCAAGTATGAATATTTTTTTGTACAACGGGTAACAGAAACTTCAAATGTGTTTCTCAGAAAAAATATTTTACTTTATAATATTATTTATTTATTTTTATATTACTATTATTTTATTATATTATAATATTTTACTTTTTGTACTGCTCGATTGATTGTAAGTACGAATATTTTTGTACAACGGGTAACAGAAACTTAAAATGTGCTTTTCACAAAAAATATTTTATTTTATAATATTATTATTTATTTATTTTTATACTACTATTATTTTATTATTTTAATTATTATTATAATATAATATTATATTATTATTATAATATTTATTTTTATATTACTATTATTTTATTATTTTATTATAATAAAAATATCTATATTATAATATTTTATTTTTTCTACTGATCGATTGATTGTAAGTATGAATATTTTTTGTACAACGGGTTACAGAAACTTCAAATGTGTTTTTCTCAAGTCACAACTCTCATTAATTTGGTTAAAAAGAAAATTGTAAGTATGAAAATAAATCTGTGTGCGAAAACTGCATACCAAAACGTATCATGGTCTCCTTAGAAAAAAAGTCCCCAAAAAGTCGATTCTTATAAGCCAGATTACCAGAATACCCCCTTAAAACAGACAAATTGTACTAATATATCAGTGTCATCTCCTAATTTTCGACCCTCTGAACTCTCAACGGCACCCGAAAGTTAGAATTATTCGTCGAACTAACGGTGGTAAAAAGACGCGCGTTTCTCCGACCTACAAGATCTTAATTTAATATCATATTTACGAAAGATAAAACAGAGGTGTATAGCGAATTGAAAAAAAAAGAAAGACGAGATAACAACGATCGATAAGTAGATAACAGCGGGGAAATAGATATATTGATCACGATCGGTAATGAAGCAACACGCGTTCGTACCGAGAACAATCGTAAATCAAGATTTGGTTAGAGAGTTCGAAAGGGACCTGACCGGAAAGGGAAGCCTTTCGCGTCGATGAATTGCAAATAGTGCAGAAACGATGACTATACTGGCATAAGGGAGAGGCTGATAACCCTCCTCGCATTATCTTATGCAAATATCAAATCATTAAAGATGCGCCAGATTATCGATGCAATGCATTACAAATACGTTTTCATACGTAATAAAAGCAGAACAGAAATGAATAATTTACACGTGGTTGGAAATAAATTTCTGAGATATATTCGCGCTGGCATAAAGTTATAAAACGATTGCTATTAGCTCAATTTCCCATTTCGGCCTTAAAAATAGAATCTTTCCTTTTGGCTAAAAAGAAAATCGCAAAGAGCGAGGAATCGCAGAGAGTGATGCGATAGAAAACCATAAGCGTAAAATAAAACAAAGTAGTGCAGGTGATGCAACTTTCTCGAAAATATTATTACACAAATCTAGCAGAAATTCAACAACGACAATGTTAAGAAACGAAAAGGTGAACTTGACTGAAGAATTGAATTAAAATTAAATTAAATGAAACGTGCAAGTGCAAAACAAACTATAAATTACTATAGCCGAATCGATCGAACGTTTTGGATATTTGAAAATGGTAGGTTGTTCACTTCTTTCTGTCTTTGTCTGGATTAACCAGCATTTCGAAACTCGCAGAGACGAATTTTTGAAATTCGCGGATTCCGAACAAAGCCTTGACCAACTGGCAGAAACAAGAGCACGATTTTACTTTACGAGATTACTACTTCGCGCTCCATTTATCGTAACTTTCGTTTCACCGTTGCCACTATCGTCTTCTTCAGCAACTTCTGTCCCGTATCAATATCGAATTTATTCCCTAACGAAACAGCAAATGGTGCAAAGTTGAGAAGCGAGGGAGTCGCGAACGCGATATCTTCACAAGCTTAACGCAGCTTTTATCTTTCCCGCGCATCCTTGAATCGTATCGATCCTCGAGATCTCTCCGCGCGCCAAGTAAGAGCCCATAAGAGGGGAAGAAAAACCGATAATTTCCAGGGCTAGAGCTCGGTTTCAGTTGATCAGGTTTATAAGCAAAGAAGTGCCCCGGCACTTTGACTTTTTCTACTGGACTATCCAGAACTATCCATATCTGGAGAAACTGTTTGCTGAGCAAGAAATGGCCATTTGCCATTTCTCTTTATCAGAGGAATAAAGTATCACGGGACAGGCACGTTTATCACGTGCTCCCGGAGTATAAGTAACCTATTCAGTAATAGGTATCTTTGAGACTCGATCAGAGATGCATTTAACACTAAAAAATAACCAAGGAAAATTTATATAAACGTATGTACAGTTTCGTTTATTGGAAGCTACGTCCGAGAAGAATTCTTTTTAAGAAATATGATTGGAAACTTTGGGAGTAAATCGTCTAGAATTTGACCAAATCTACAAAACGAAATAGCAAAACTAATAACGTGAGACAAGTGAAAACAGTGTCCAGACGTTAGCTCTTGAGACGGTCATCTCTTAGAAACGCTGAACAATAGGTCCACTTTAACCACTCCCACACATTTTCTACATATACATTTCACTTTCCCCATAATGTATAACACAATAATGCGTTACGTATAAAATGTTGATCCAAGCTGATCATACAGATATTTCTGTACGACAGACATTATGAATTGAAGCAAAAGTGAAATGTATATAATAACTAGCAGTTAGATCTTACGTTACTGAGTCACAGAATATCACTGATGCATATAGATAACATACACAGATTTTTAGTCGAGCTGCTGAAAAAGCACAAGAACCTCAAAACATAAGAGATTGTTACAGGAAATATAACAAACTGATTGATGTTAATCAACTTTGGAAAAAGGAGTTAATTAAATTTGGTTTAATTTGGTCAAGCTTGCAAGAAAGCTCATTTTCCCCGTAATCTTGCTTTTGAATTTCATCTGTGCGAAAAGTGGACAGTTTGTAGAAACTCTGGCTTATCTTTGTATCAGACCCAGAAATGGCTCGTGGTTAGTTATTTCCAAAGTGTTAACAAAACGCAAAGATCTCAACTTCATTTCTTTCAGCAAAATCATTCTACCAGTAGAAGAAAACGTGCTCGTCACGGCACTCGTCCTCGAATAGCAGATATATACATTGGAACCACGTGTTCCTTTCGCTCTCTTTTTCAACTCTCTTTCGTCGCGGTGGCGAGTCGCAAATCACGAGTACGAATATTTCTACGAACAATCGGTAGTATCAATAGTATCGTCATTTCGACAAGGCAATTCTTTTCAACAGATAGAATAGAAACGAAAAAAAATCTGCCCATGAAAGGTATATAATTCCTAAATCTCAATTAAGTTGATTAATATTAATCTAATGTCATCGTTCCCTGCAATGTTATTTCCAATCACTGCAGACAACTTTTCTGCCTTTCATGCAATGGTAAATGACTAATCGTAAAAGTTTATACTTCCGGAAATATGTATAGGAAATATCTAATTTATATTTTGTGTATATATATATATATATAGATAACTAGAAGTTACGAATGATACAAAAGTTTAGCTTTCTATACAACTTGGTACGTATAACTGCCACATTGTACAAGTTCAGGGATATTTTTATTAGAAATTACATTTCCGTATTACAATTTTTCTCAACAAACGAACGACAGGGATTTTACTGCAAGTACATACATGTTCAAATGTGCCTACAGAATCGTGGTACATAATTACACAGTTGAAAAAGATACGAAGATACCCGTCACGATAATCACGCATGATACGAGTCATTTTGTACAATAAATTGGTATAGATTTCCAAGAACGGTAGAAAGATGTGTGACTTTGACGAATTAGATAAATGACAACTAATCACGTACTCGCACGGCGTTGCGCTGCAGCTTTTGATCGCGAGAGGGAAATGTCAAAACAATTCTTTGTTTACCTCGATCATAGCTTTTCCATGGCCGAGAAGTTTCTTCCTTTGCTATCGCAACGTTTATCGAACAGGAAACTTGAAATTTTCACAATTGTCTTTTTCAATTGGCTGTCAATACGCGAAATAGGGAAAGGCTCTGTTCGAACAGAGCTGAAACCAATTCTAATTCTAATATGGGATGCGGTGTTTCGAACAGTGATAATAACGGTGGACTTCAAAACAATGCGTTTCTAGTAAAAAAATTGACAGCAGCTATCGGCAAAGACGCACAAAGCAGGAAAACTCACCGAACTCTGCGGGGAATTGGATACACTTGGAGACCGTTGCACGGTGACCAACGCCATGATAAGAACCTCCCACGTTGTCAAGATGTTGGAGATAACACTCACTGTCACTATACACACGCGTAAAAACGATCGGATCGTTTGAACCACGGGAAAACGATCATTTTTCACACACTTCTAACGGCATCACGCTCGCGGCGGCCATATTCGATACAGTCTAACGTAGCGGCTACTCTGCGCATGCGTCCAGCCACGGCGTGCGCACGCCCGCGATTTTTCTTATCGTACAATGACGTCATGCACTACGCTTTTTAATTTCTTTAAGCAACAAAGTTGCTTGAAAATTATACAAAATAAACACAAATTTACGCTTTCGCACGAATCTATTGACATTATTTGTACAACTTTTTTTTTTAACACGCGCAACATAAATACGAAAAATTATGAACATCGAGTGATCGTCTTTTCAAATCTTTCTTGTAATCATATAACTTTGAATTAATTTACACTTTATTCTGAATATTATTCACTTATAGATTGTAAAACAGATGTATAATTCTTTACTCTCCATACTTTTTATAACGTTTCTTGCAACTGTTAAGAAAATTTACACTTACATTTACACAGAACGTTTAAAAGTTCATTTATTGCTGTAATCGTATTTGAGAAAAGATATTTCTACACAGTTCACATCTTTTAAGAATTAAAATTCGAAAATTTCGCTCATGCAAATACTACAAAAGATTGTCGTATTTATTTCTTAATAATCGTAAATTACTTGCGTGTGAAACTTTATATGTTGTGACACAAATACATATTTTTGTACCTTGAGATGGTTCAAAAATATATCAGTGTTGTAAAAGAAGTTGGAGGCCTATGTCACTCATTCGATTATAGATCGATAGTTCGAAATCGCATTCGAAGATATCGGTTAGAGTCAGTCAGTCAGTTAGATAAGAAAAAAGACCCCCATGTAAACAGTATTGCACAAGTTTGAGTAACAAGTGTATGTTATATTTTTATCAGAAACGAGGAAAATTTCTTAAAAATGTCGAAAATTTTTACACCAACGAATCAAATAAGATTAACCAACGTTGCTGTAGTTCGTATGAAAAAAGCAGGAAAGCGATTTGAAATTGCTTGTTACAGGAACAAGGTTATCTCGTGGAGAAATAAACTGTAAGTCGTTGCTCACCGATCAAAATTAAGACATGCGTTACATTATTTGTACATTTTTGATATCTAACCTATACGTATTTTGTCTTATTATTATTATTATTTTTTTTATACACACTTACACACACACATATACAAATATATTAAATTTTTATTATAAAAAAATTACATTTCAGAGAAAAAGATATTGACGAAGTTTTACAAACTCATACAGTATTTATAAATGTCTCAAAAGGCCAAGTAGCAAAAAAAGAAGACCTTATAAAGGCTTTTGGTACAGATAATCACACAGAAATCTGTAAAGAAATTCTTACAAAAGGAGAACTTCAGGTTTCTGATAAAGAGAGACATTCTGCTTTAGATTCTATGTTTAAAGATATTGCTACAACTGTTGCTGACAAATGTATAAATCCAGAAAATAAACGCCCATATACAATAACTATGATAGAAAAAGCCATGAAAGATATACATTTTTCTGTGAAGCCAAATCGAAATGCAAAACAACAAGCTTTGGATGTAATTCCTCAATTAAAAGCTGTAATTCCATTAGAACGAGCTCAAATGAGACTCAGAGTTGCAGTCCCAGATAAGGAGGCTAAAAAGTTAAGAGATAAAATAATAAAATTAGTAACAAAATTAGAAACAGAAGAATGGGATAACGGAACATTAAATTTGGTTTGTTTAATTGATCCTGGACATTATAGAGAGATAAATGAACTAGTAAGATCGGAAACTAAAGGTTCTGGTTTATTGGAATTACTTAATTTAAAAGAAATTGTTGAAGGAGATGAAATTTTAGAATAAATTAATTGTATTGAATGTTATCATCTTTAACTCTTTTTTTATATATAATTTATTGTTTAAACTGTATGTTTATTTAAGATATTTTTTGTTATAAATATTTTTCTACTATGTATATATTAGCAAAGATTTGATACAAAGTAATAAATTTTTATTCAATAAATTATGTATGTATAATGTATGTATAATATAATAAAAAGTTGTTAACAGATGTACTACTTCGATGAAATTATCCAGTTATTTAATAAAATAACACAATATATTCTATTAATTATAATCGCTTTATGTGACAATACATAAAAAAATGTTTGTATTTGGAGACTGTACTGTGCTTTTAATTTTTTATTACAAATCGTTACTTAATGTATTAATTACTATGTACATTTGATAATGTAATAATACAATATAATCAGTAACTGACATTTATAATTTCATTAAAAAATATTTACAACTTATCTACTTTGAAAATATATTAAAAATTAATATTGCAGAACTTTTGCACGAAGTATTTGGTTGTTTATGTACGTATATACTTTTATACTTTTACAATAAAAGAAGAAATAATCTACAGTTTTTTTTTTATAAGTTCTATAATTTATTTTTCTTCATTTTTTTCAACTTCTACTCTAGGAATATATATGTTTTCTGTACGTTGATCACACTTGGCTGCAATTCGTGAGGTTGTTAATAGGAAGTTTTGTAATTTGTTTAAATATATTTGTGCTTCTTTATTTAATAAACCATCCTGAACTAAAAATGCAACATTTCGTTCTACACGTTTGCATATTGCTTTTGCTGAATGTAACATAGAACAAGCTTTACCACCACCCTAATAAAATACAAAATAAATTATGAGATTTAATTAACAAAAAATATGAGATGAAAATACTCTTCTTACAGGAATAATATACGTTTCCTGGGGAGGTAGTTGATTGGCATATTCTGCTATCCATTCTTCCAAATCATTAATATGTTTACTTTCAAATGCTTCAGTCTTTCCAGGTATAGGTTTTGATATAGCATGACTTAAATCAAACAAAATCATTTGAACTCTTTTTAATTTATCAACATAAGGATGTTCAACTTTGCTATCTGTTGCAAATTCCCTTGCCAATCCTATTTGTGACAACAACTCTTCAGTTGACACAAGAGCATTAAATGTTATATCATTTTGTGCAATTATATCTGCATCTACATTTGATAATTGCAAATCATTATCTCGCACAGAAACATCTTTTTTTGTTACTTTTGATGCTGAACTGCTACTGCAATCAAATAATTTTATGTTGATATTATCTTTTGTAATTATATATTTCTATATATTTTTTGTAATTCTGTAAGAATTATACCTATTTAGTGTGATAAAATATTTTAATTTAGTATTATAAAATATTTTTTACATTATTTGTTATCTATGCAAAACAAAAGAATTCACAAAAGAAAAATTTGTTATATAAATATAATAAAAATAAACTTATAACAAGACTTGACAGTTTTTATACTTTCCGCAAATATGATGCTATAAAGGATAAACATGATAACTTTCTGCAGAATTTTCTACAGAAAAATTACATATTAAATTTGTCAATGTAGCAATCAATAAAAAGAAGTTATAACATATTTATAAATTGATGTAATGTTAAATAACATATAATATAATATAATATATTTATAAGTTGATGCAACATCAAATTATCAGTTATATGTATATAATTAATTTGACATTTATAGTTTAATGAAGACTATTAAAATATAATTAAAAAATAAAGCTATAAAATAAATATTCTATAACTCAATATTAATATACGTTATATCATAAGGTATAAAATAAGATTCAGGTTATGCTAAACATTTGTGATGTACCTATTTCTAGATGATGCCCGCAGTAAGGTTTTGTACAACAAAACGGGATTTTTCCATACACTTCTAACTACTTCCATATTTATAATAAACAAATCTAAACGTAATTATGTCAATGTACAATTTCTAAATATACAGTTTTGGTTGAAGTAAGATTAACGATATATAATCGTAAAGTTACTTTGTGATCATGCTGCTGGTTAAACCTGCGCATCACAGACTATTTTATTTAACTGAAAAATTTATTAAATATACTATATAGAACGTAAAATAGCTATTGTATATATTTATAGAAAAATTGATTTGAATCAAGTTTCAAGAATTATTATTTTAACAAAATGCATAAGCATATTAAACAGTATAGCTATATATGTGTAACTACAAAAAGTAACAATCTGATTTCATGAGTAAATATTTTATCTTTTGAAACTAATTAATCTAATAATTTGCAGCATCGTATACAAAATTTTATCGTTTATTTAACAAATATGAAGATTTAGATAAAAATGATTAAATAATTAATACCAGAAAATTATATAAACAATTTTTTATGTAAGATCTAAAGAATTTTTAAGTGCATACATACTAAGAACTTTCTACCGCAAAATTAAATTTAAATAGTAAAATACTTTACTCCTTGTTCTTATAAAAGTTTCAAATATTTTGTAGATATAAGATGAGACTATAAAATAGTAAGTAAAATTATATTTTGCAATATAGAGCAAAACAAATATTTAATCAGTTGTTTGTTTCAGTTTATTAATGTTATTTAATGAATATTATGTTTATAATATAGAATGAAGTATATATTTGCCATTTTTAAACATACAATTTTTTTTCATTTGATACAGATACTTACACACTATAATAGGCATAAAACGTTTAAAATGCATATTCAGTTAACATAAAATTCTAATCATCACATTATATTATTAGTATCTAAGTTTATGATATTGCACACAATATCACAATATTATTATTATGATACATATAACATAGTATAATTAATGTGTCATTAATTTTTTAATTAATATTCTTTAAGTACTGTTCATTACATTAATAATAGAATAAGGAAGATTATTAATATTATTAAGTAATATTTATGGCAGTTAGATGAATTAACGAATTATACAATATCGATATTGATATTATTTTTAGAAATACCAAAAATCATTCATTTTGCACAACATAATATTCTTTATATACTTTTAAATTTGGACAATACTTTGGACAATTTCACACAATAATAAATAAATGCTTATTAAAATTGAACTTAAAAAAAAAGTAATACTTAAAATTATAACAGTGTTTAAATATATGATTGTTCCTGTGAACATTTAGTTTATATTTATCTTCTGGAAACAAGATTAATATAGAAATAATTAACACAGACAAATAAATTTGTCCTAAATGTATATACACTGTACATTAATATTTTTATAGGACATGATACGTAATTTCACTACTTACATTATTACGACTTGACAATCGGTTACTGTTATACATAGTTTTAATTTTTATTAGTTACAATAAATAAGTTTAATTACACTTTTAACAGTCATGATGCACAAATGATTCATTTTACTATATTACTTTAATTAAATGTTAGACTTTGAGGTACTGTTTTGTGGCATATGTGCATGTATTTGTTTTATTAATAATGTATTATAAGTTGCTATTATTTACTTATGAAAATTATTTTGTCATGTTCAGTCACCCACATTAATTTTCTCTTGTAATATTTGATAGTAACAAGCCTAAAAGATATAATTATTGATTAAATTTTAAAATCTTAAATAATTTTTCACGAAAATATCTTACTTTAAGAGTAGTGAACATAATTCCAAGTTCTCCATTTTGTAAATAAGGCTCCATAAAATCTTCTATAAAATGTATTTCACTGCCTAATTGTAATACACTAGCACGGACAACAACAAAACAAAAGACAGGAAACAATTCATCCATTGTCCATAAATATGTAGTTCCCAATTGCTTCTGAACTGCCTATCATAAAAAATGTGTAAGATACTAATAATAAATAAATAATAATATATATTAAAGAAGTTAGCTTACTTGTGTCATTTGTTCAAATGTGTTTCTAACGACTAATAATTTTTCTAATGGAGAGAACGTGGTTTTCAATTGTTGTAATGTCTCTATTGCTTCGCTGAAGTACGGCTCATTTTGATACGGTAGTCCGTTTTCGTTTAAGTTCATTACGTTTGTATTCTTCCAAAATTTTCTAAAGTTGTGGTAATTTAATTAATTATACAAAATATAATAATCATGGCGTTCTATATCTTTAATAATATTACTCACTGATCGATGTCCAAAAAAGCCATTAGCGTTATATCAGGTTGTTTGTTCCATTTCATTAATCTTTCCCAATAGGCATCATCTTCTTTCTTATTATGTAAAGCGTATAATACAAAAAGTGCTGAATGCACACGAGGTAGCAATATTGGATGAAGTATTGCTGCAGCGCTTATAACTTGACTGATAAAGTAAGTTAAAATAAGGAAACATGACATGATATAAATATAATAAATAAATAAATAATGAATTATAAAGATAATTAATTAAAACGTACCCTTCTTCTTCACTGTCTGTTTCCAATACATATTCTTTTCCACCTCGTGGTAATGCCGGAAATAATAGAATAACTATTTCATATATTCTTGAAGTAATACTACGAAGTTCAGATACAGCATGACTGAGTAATAAAGGATGAACTCTTACACCGCCGTACGTAGCTGTATATACAGCAGCAACTTCTGTTAAAAGTGCTCCTAATGGATGATGTGAACTATCAAATGCTTTAATTAAGTATTTGTGAATTTCACTGTAGCTCTGAACCGTCAGTTTATCTCTTCCAAAACCGGGAATTTTATCTAACTCATCAATCACTTCATTATTTTTCTCTTTACTAGTATTAGTAAATGTCAAAAGTTTTTTTCGTTGCAAAGCTTTTTGATGTGACTTAGTTATTATGCTAGCAATATTTTGCCAAACACGTTGCGTTTCTGTAAACTTATCAGTTATAGCTGTAATTTTCGAACCTGGTTCAGGTACACCAAGTTGTTGATAACATTGTCTAAATATAGCTTTCCATTTTTGATCTGGTGATACACATAACTTGCCAAAAGATCTACATTATATAATATATAATAAGTAAATTTAAATTACACAATAAATATTACTCACAGTAAATTACTTACGTTGGTTTTGAATTAGTTTGTACATTTCCACTAGCTTTATTCATATGCAATGTTGCAATAACTTTTACACCTTCGTTCCATGCACCGTTCATATTACCCTCTAATCGGTCGCCACTTGTAAAAGTTAAAGTACCTTTACCATAAAAAATACCAGCTGATTTAAATTCACCTTCGTAATGAGTACCATCTTCAAACACCATGACTCCGTGACCCTTTTATCAGAAATATTTTATTTCAATATTTTAAGCTTATATTTATCGGACGTCTAATTATATTTAATTATTTACCGTTAAAACATCTTGCATAAAAACTCCTTCATAATAAATACCATCTAAAGTTACTATTAAACCACAACCATGTTTCATGCCATTACTCCATGATCCCAAGTATTTTTCACCTGAAATAAATATACAGTTTAATTAAGCAATATTTATTTATGTAGGAAAGAGTTTAATTTTACTAGAACAGAAATGTTATTTTCTTTCTGCTCCTAATTAGGCTAATAATTAATACCTGTCATAATGTCGTCCATAATTCCATATCCTTGTTTGACACCTGCAGCCCATTCTCCAATGTAAACAGATGCTACAGATGCCATAAAATGCCCTTCCTTTTTAACCCCATGACCATGTGGTAATCCATCTTTGAAATATCCTTCATAAAAGTCTCCATTATTGTATCTAGAATATTTTCCATTTGTTTTTAAATATTATACATTATATAAAATTATAATCAAAATTTAAATTGTTATTTAAAAACTGACTTCATTGTTCCATATCCATTTTGTTGACCATCCTTCCACTGCCCTTCGTATATACCTTGAGATGGAATTTCCATTTTACCAATACCATGAATAACACCTTTGTGAAATTGTCCTGCATATTTTCGTCCATCAGACCATTCTAATTTTCCAGAACCATGCGGTTTACCATTCAGCCATCGTCCTATATATCCAAATAAAACATACTATGCATATGTATTAAAATATTATACTTAACATACAAATATATATTTATATTATGTATACTATGTAATATTCACGATTAAAATTCGTGGTATACAATAATTGTTATACGACTTACGAACCAGTATATTTTGCATCTTTGAAAACACTGTGCTTTGTGAAAGAAAATGAGCTAGAACGTACTATTGGAGGTACATGTCCAATAACTCTTTGTAGACTGCATTTTATGGCATTTTGTAAAACGTATAACCACTCATTGCGTTCAGAAGGTGTTGGAGTATATAACACAAACGTATCCTCTGGAGTTACTATTGATATAGAATTCTAAAACATAGATATACAAATACAAAAAATTTACATTTATGTCTGAATTTTACAAAAGTTTAACATACTTACTTGTACTGTTTCAGAATCTGGTAAAGGTTCCACCCATAGTGTTTTAAGTGGATGTACCACATGAGATGTACCAGTAACATGGATAAATATATCAGTTAATAAAACAAACCAATGTGTAGAAAATCTGCCAGAGTTAAGTATTGACAATGGATGCATTCGTGACTCTCTAATAAGCCTTCTATCAGGAGATCTTAACAATTCCCCAAGTTTCCCAGAACTTTCCCAAAATAATTTAGTTGCTTCGGCTTCCTTTTGTTGTTTCTCTTGATCATCACATATTTGTTCCCACTTTATTAAAGCTTCTTGCAATCGTTCTACACCCATTCTTGTACCATTACATTTCATCAAATTTAGAACCATATTTTTATATCTGTACAAAGATGATGTCTGTTATCATAAATAAGAAAATAGTAAATCATTCTTCATAAATGTATTCAAGATATTTATATTTATTTTTGAAGTAACTTCATCTTCAATTCATATTGAGAACTAATAACTGATACTTATCGTTTATATGATATTTATTGTTAATTTTAGAGAATGATGAAAATTATTACTACTTTGTATACATATTTAAATATATTTACCTATTTAATTTACGTAATGGATGTTGTAATGCCATTGTAATTATAGTTTCATCAGAAACTTTTTTTGTTTCATTACTCTTTAATTTGTCCATAAATAAATTTGTTATTACTTGAGGTATTTCAATTATTTTTGCAATATATGTAAATCCACTTAAAGAAATGACATCGCACACTGCATTTAGATAATATTTATATACAGTAATATATTCTTCAACATTAGCAATAACTGTCACTTCATATGCTTCACCAATATGATTAAAATAATCCCATAAACTAATAACATTTAATACACTAAAACTTAATAATTCAGTATAACAGCGACATAAAGTTTCATAAACATTTGATTCCTGCATGGCACCACCTTTCTTTTGGAATGGCTTAATTAAATTTTGATGAACAATCAGTATTTCTTCCAAGAAAATTTGATCACTTATCAAGTCCTCAGAAATATTTATTTTAGGTTCATTTATTACAGAACAACAACTGTAGTTACCAGAACTGAAAATTTGCTGAGGACTACATTTATTGCTTGTCTCAATATCAAGTTGAAACATTTCACCAGTTTTACTGAAACCACATGACAGCTTTTGTGAACAAATAGAACTTTCATTTCTTATTAATACTTTTCATAATTAAATTATTTACCTTGACTGCCCAATAAAGTACAAACCATGATGCATCATAACTAAACTATGAAAACTACCAGCTGCCATGTCTTTGGCTCTTTCATTTGAAAATAACTTTGTAGTAAATAAACGAGGTGCACTTTGATATACATTTGGTTCTAATGTCACCTGTTTATGGTTATTTCTGCCCCAAGCAAAAACTCTTCCATCTAACGTCAGGGCAAGTATGTGAAATGCGCCACATGAAATTTTTATAAGTCCAGTATTACTGAGTTTTGCTACCAAAATAGGTCGTGAGCGTTTAACAATATCCCCTGTACCTAACTGTCCATATTGTATATCACCCCATGTCCAAAGTTCAGTAAATAGTATACTGTTACCAGTACGAGTTAATGTATTGATTCTTTCATTTAATCCTTGCTGAGACAATTCATGCTCAGAGGAACCAGTACTTGATGACCAAGGAAATTCTTCGCAACGTAAACTTAATGCCAAACTAGTAGCAGCGGGTTTTGGATATTCCTCTCCTAGTTCTAAATGTTCACTACTATCATCTTTAAATTCATTTATATCTGAACTTCCACTCATATGCCTGGATAATGTAACAACTTTGCCTCCTACGTTTTTCACTCCTTCATATACTAAATTAGCTACATTAGATACATTTTGTTTTATTAGTCTAGTTGGTTTTTCAATGTTTTCCAAAGGTATGTCTTCTTTAACACTTCCATAAGATGAAACCCAAGATAATTGTCTGGTTAAAAATTGCCTTGCAGCCTCTGTATTTATAAAAATAACATTTCTTTTTTCTTCTTTTCCAGAATCAACAGAATTATTGGCACCCAGTTCTCCATTCTCTACCACTTCAGAAATTTTCTCTTTCTTATTGTTTTCTGCGAATAAAGTCTCTTGTTCTTTACTAGCAACAGATAAAGCACTAATAGAATTGGTTGAGTGATCTTCGCTAAATTGCTGTACATGAAGCCCCGTAGGACAAGTATCGGATGATGTTAAACTTGTAGGACTTAATAGTACAGTATTTAGACACTGAGGACACGAATTAACAAAAACTTCCTCTTCTAATTCATTCTCACTATCAGTATCATCTTTCAAAGCCTTTGCTGGTTTCCTTACAGCAACTACATTAAAATTTGAACCACATGCAATGGCGGACACAGTCCTGCCCTCAAAAAATTTCACCTTTCTAGGCTCAGTGCTATTAATATCTATTTGAGATTGATTTCCACTAGCCCAAAGTTGTCCATTTTCTGTTACAAATAATGTTGCTTGATCACTAACAGCTATTGATTTTACTTTGACAATCTCATTTTCTTGTTTATATCTGCAATGGTATATATATATAAATTATTTTAATATTCTATCTAAAAGTATATGAGAATTCGATGAAACCTACCCATGGCTGCAACACTTAACTTCTTCTTTTAGAATTATTGTATCTATCACGCTCATATCCTGAGGATTTACTTTCAAAACATGTCCATTATTATCTACAATAAATAAATAATCCGAATTGCATGCTATGTCAATCACATCAAATTGAGCCCTTTTGAAAACTAATGACGGAGGGCTGTTTTCCAAAAATGATACCTCTCCATAATACAAATTATTGGTAGTTGTTGCTACAAAAATGTGATCTTTAATGGTGACCAATCTACAAATTATGCCATTTGGTTGATCGCCAAAGGTGTATGACAATTTATCAACACCTCTCCATAAATGCATGTGTTTCTCCATTTTGTGGGATGTTTGACAGATAAACTGATGTGCATAACCTAAAGGTATTTTACTTCAGATGATAGTGTTTTTGGTCAATAACGCTTTCGTCATGTGATTCGCGACTGAATCTCTTTCACTGAACTTTCCTGCAAGAGTACTCGAGGGAATTTACATATTGACATGATTAAACTAATGATTTCCTTATTACAATGTCGAAACTTGTTTCAACAACACATACCATAAAACCTATATACATACATACTACGTTTAACTACAGCATAAACTGTAACCGACACTGATACCCGAGATGATTTGTCACATGATCATTCTACTATATCATTCTGCTATATAAGAGAGGGGATAGATTTTTATTGTTAAGCGTAATTTTCAACGGAATAACTTAATATGCAATTAGTTGAAATTTTTATACCAGTACCAATTGTTTGCAAGTAAAGTAAAATAATTTTAAAATATTTCTATATAACATTTCGTCTGTTTCATGTCGATACACATTCTATTCATTGAACAAATAAGTACATTGAATTGGACCAATCATATTTTATTGATAAGAGTTAAATCTATGCGCTTTCGTGGAATATGTGTACGCGCCAAAGAATTCATCTATCGTTGTTCGAAATTGGATAAATTGAATTCGACGCACCAATCAGGAGCATCCACGATCTAAGCTCCGATGTTTGTTGTAAGTTGTAGAATAACGTCTGCTAGAATGGCAGCAATAAAATTGATTTGGTCGTTATTCATAAATTTAACAATATTTGTAATATTAACTGTGGCAGGGTAAGTAAAATATACCATTAATGTCTATAAAAGTCAATTATTTTATATATCGAAGATATTTGTTTATTACAATATTATAACCTCTTATACTTTTCAAAGCGTCGCGAGCTATTAACATAGAATGCATTAAATAGAATTATAAGCAAATTTGCTGAATGATTTTAGTTTTTTTGCATTTCCAAATAATAATTCTATTAAAAAAAAAAGAAAAAAAAAAAACATTTAACTATATATTCACGTGTTTGATTTTGAATCTAGGCTTTTAATTTGGGGTATTTATTGTATATGATATATTTCAAATAGAAATTAAAGTGTGCATATATATATATATATATATATGTATTTTGCAGGAGAGATTTTTATGCCATTTTAGGCATACCATCGACAGCAAGCCAACATGCAATAAAGAAAGCATACAGAAAGTTGGCGAAAGAATTACATCCTGATAAAAATAAAGATGATCCAGATGCTTCTCAGAAATTTCAAGATCTAGGTGCAGCTTATGAGGTCCTCTCAGATAATGAGAAGAGAGAAATGTATGACAAATGTGGAGAAGAATGTTTAAAGAAGGATGGCATGATGAACAATGCTGATCCGTTTGCAAGTTTTTTTGGTGATTTTGGCTTCCACTTTGGTGGAGAGTCTCAACATCAGCAAGAAACACCTAAAGGTTCCAATATTATAATAGACTTAGTAGTTACTTTAGAAGAATTGTATAGTGGAAACTTTATAGAGGTAAGATTTTACATTTAATTAAATATGAATTGGATAAATTGAGTATGAAATGGGAAATTACCCTTCCAGATAACAAGAAATAAGCCAGTTGCGAAGGCAGCAAAAGGAACAAGAAAGTGTAATTGCAGACAAGAATTAGTTACTCGTAATTTAGGGAATGGAAGATTTCAAATGATGCAACAATCAGTTTGTTCAGAATGTCCAAATGTTAAATTTGTTACTGAAGAACGTGTACTGGAGGTTGAAGTAGAACCTGGTATGGTAGATGGACAGGAGACAAAATTTACAGCAGAAGGTGAACCACATTTGGACGGGGAACCTGGAGATTTAATTTTAAAGATACGAACCCAACCACATCCAGTCTTTGAAAGAATTGGTGACGATCTATACACAAATGTTACTATATCTATGCAAGATGCATTGATAGGTTTTAAAATGGATATAGAACATTTAGATGGTCACAAAGTGACTATTCAGAGAGATAAAGTAACCAAACCAGGAGCTCGTATTAGAAAAAAAGGAGAAGGAATGCCTAATTATGAAAACAATAATCTTCATGGAACTTTATATATTACATTTGACGTTGCATTCCCTGAAACAGAATTCACTGATACACAGAAAGAAGGTAAATTAGTTTAGTTTAGTTAAATTATACTTAATGTTTTTTATGATAATTAATTTTTTTTGTGTTTGTCTGTTTCAGAAATAAAAAGTTTACTTCAACAAGGTTCTGTAAATCGAATTTATAATGGAATAAGAGGAAATTAAGAACTTTAAGTGCAATGTATGTACAAAGTGAGAGTATAAAGAGTGCATACAACTAAGGTGTGTGTGTTAACTCTGTGTGTTTCTATATCAAGTGGTGTTTTCGCTTCCTTGAAATATGAATACCAACAGGTTTGGTAACCAGCCATGAGGTTAGTAGAAGTGAATACATGTAGCAAACGTAATAACCATTGCAACACGTACTTCCTTTTTGAGTTTAAGAGACTGGTCACATACATTATTGCCAATTACTTATATGGATGTCAGCAATGGTTAAGTAGTTTATTTAAAAAAATAAGTTATTTTTTCTTTAACATGCGTGGGTGATGTATGAGTGTTTTACATGAACAGAAATTTTGCATTTAAATAGTTTTTAAATATTGGACTTAGTATCCAAAGACAAACAATTAGCAAACTATTGTATTACAATTTTTCTATTGATATTATTTGCAATAAAATGTACGACACCATCCGTCATCAATAAGAAATAAGGATTATACAATCATTTAACTTGCATTTCAAATTTTTATTAAGTAAGTATAATTCTTTCATCAAATACAACACAATATGTTGTAATGTTTTGTTGCCTTGTGAATAGTAACTTTAGAATCTTTGATAAAATGGAGGCCACAAATAAATTATAATTTTTGTATTTTTATCATAATTCTAATGTACTTACACCTGTAGTTTTTGTTAATTTATCATTCAGTTTATATAATTATCTCAAGTACGTCACCGATTCATGTTACAATCATATTAAAAGTTAGTGCACAAATATTTCACGTAGAACCGATTTTAATTCTATTGAATAGTGAACTTCATTTTGTTTGCAAGTAAAAATCATTTGCACTGAACTAAAATCACTGAACGATTTCGTAGTCCTAATGAAAAATAGTCATATGCATAAATAGTAAATATTTTTCTAAACGAATTAGCACATTTTACAAATTCTTAAGTCGGGTATCATTAGACCAATAATGTGACTTGTCTATTTCCTAGTTATCTCAAGATAATAAACAAATTATTTTATATTTTTTATAATAATTGTTTCCTTGTGAAACACAAATAGCAAGTAAGTATTCAAATTACGTCATTCTATTTAAATTTAAGAAAATTATATATATATATATATATATATATATATATATAATTTTGTGTGTGTACATACAAAAGTTATTAATAAATCCTTCGGAAAATAATTTTTCTACAATCATAAGAAGATAGTTTGAGCTCAAAGCTAATTCAATCTTTAGGTAGATTTTAAAGCCAGAATCAATTTTACTTGATCAATATTTTTAATTTAATACATACTATTATAGAAAGAACTAAATGTAGAAAGTTTACAAGTCGCGTCTAATAATTAAAATACTAGTATTAGGACTTTCTTTAGATTTACATAGTTTAAAGTTGTTCACGGTATGCTTAACAAATCAAACGTCGTATCATATTTAAGTATTCTTGCAATTTAGCAAGAGGAAAATTTGGCTTTGCAATATAAAAAAATCGCGTCTGCAATAATTGCATTTTTAGACATCGGTACATATAAATTAAATAATATCGCTGCACCGCGCCAATTACGTTTGCTTATTTATTACGTTCATTACTCCATCACTATGTATTTTACTGCTGTTAACAATAAAAACAACATTCTACTGTTACTGGCTGACGTTTAATTTGTTAAGCACGAAACCATCGTGAATCGTATTTTTAAAGCAAGTATCTTATCACAGTGTAACTTTTCTTTGTACCAGTATACTGGCTACTGCGTCGCATTAATTTAACTAAAACCTACGATATTGTTGTTGTCAAGGTAAATTTGTTTCTAGAATGTTTCGAGGAAATTGAAAAGAAACAAAAAGTGATAAGAAATGATAACGAGAAGAAAAGAAAAAGAGAACAAATCGAGCTACAAACAGTAACAGTATAGCCTCATGTTGAATTCGTCGACACAGGCGCTTTGTTTGCCATATGCGTTCAGTCTGCTAACTGATCCCACCAATTTATTAGTCTTGTCCTCGCTTCTGTATCGTATCGTTCCCTCGAATATCGCGTCACCAGGTTCTGTTTGAATTGTGATTGTATAGTCGACCAGTTGGCTCTTCTCACCTTCCTCGCTCCTCCATGCTTTCGCGGCTTTGATCTCCTTCAGTTTCAATACTGCGCACTGCACGAATTTCTTCAGCATATTGTTCAACTCCGTGACTAGAAAGACCGCCTTGTCCCGAAGGCTCCCGTCTTCCGGGGGTACGTCGTAGCTGTTGTGACACATGCACCAGTGGCTGGCTATACCCGCCATGGAGCAGGTTCTGTAGTCGGGAATTGGCAAGAACCAGCTGATACCGCGAGGCAAATTGTCGTTCTTCGGCATCGCTTTGAATCGAGCCTTGAGACGCGTCTCCTCCAGGCTCTCGGAATGCAGCATGTCGATCAGGGTCTCGTGCAAGTCGAACGCCGTTGTCAGGCTCCGCGTGTTCCTCCGGAAATTCGCCCAGGCTATTTGATACTTTTCCCTCCACCATCGGGGCAACACGACGAACACAAACGGGAGGCTGTCCTCCATTCTTCCTTGATAAGTCTGCCGGAAGCTTCCCCATCTCATCCCGTGATCGCTCATCACTATCAACGCTGTCTGATTCAACAGCCGTTGGCTGGACAGATAGGTGATCAGGTTGCAATAGGAGGTGTCACCCAACTGCGGATAGTTGAAGAAATCGTGGGTCAAGCTTGCTTGCCAGACCATCGCGAAGTACGGGTCCCTGTGGAATTGCAAGGCGATTTTCTTCGCATAGTCCAGCAGGTTTTCGAACGTCTTTCTGGTACCCACGCAGAGATTCGCGTTCAGTTTGTGCGTGTTGCCGATGTCCTTCTCGGATGCGATACAGAACGGTCTCAGATAGTAATCAGTCGGTTGAGCCCGGAAACCACGTTTCAGATAGTTGAAGATGGTCATGCCGCAGGCGTCCTCGCCGAAGCCCGTCCGATAACCGGATGCGCTGAAATTTTTCCAAATGAATGGGCAGTCGTCGAATGGTTTGTTTTTATTTTGCCAACATAAATCGTGCAATTCTGACTCGGACAAGCCGCTTAAGACAGGCACTAGATTCGGATACGTGTTATCAGCTACTTTGGTATAGCCCAACAGTTCCACCGCTTCGAGCTCTTGCAACGCGCGAACAGTATTCGGCATCATTCGATGAAAGTTCAATCTAGAGATCGAGTCGAGGCCGATTATCAACACGCTCAGATGCTCGTCCCTCGAGCTGGCCGCTCTGGCTTTCTTGCATTTATTCTCCACCGAGCGGAAACGAGGCACGAATGCGTGATAATCCTTGTATATCATCTCATTGTTCCGCGAGCATTCTACTTTCACGAACTCGGTGTTCACAGCCGTCGAATTTTTGAACTTGAAACACTCGTTACTGTACCTGTATAAATACAAGGCAGTTGGAATTAACCACATTCACTTGAATTGAATGCCTTCGAATCAGATAGAGAAACGATTGTTATTATTATTAGATTTGCGTTGGCAAAGCATTTTCTTACAAAAATTAAAAATAACCCAAAGAAGTTAAAAGGGACTGGTCTCATTATCGATAGGAATAAGATTGATCAGTCTTACTGACGTAACAATGTTATCCTCGTTTTTCATTCGCCAGAACGGCCTCCAGCAGCAATCAATCTCCTCCGAATTGTTGTAAAAATGGCCGATCGCGTTTGCGTTTATGTACAACGCTGTGTTGTTCGAGTCGACCAGCGGCAAATGACTTCCGTGTTCGCAAACAAGCGGCTTTTCCTTTTCGATAAATCGTGTGACCGCTGAATCGAAAGGGTCCATCGCTGGAATTCGACAACCCTTGTTGCGTACCACGAAACCAGAATTGGCTATGGACGCGAAGTAAGACTTCAATTCTACGTAGCTCTCTGGAAATAAAGTAAGCATTCATCGGTATGATTAATCAGCGATCAATTGATGGTAATTGATTGATTGAAAGAAAAAGAAAAACCGAAAAGGTAAAATATTTATGGATATGTTTAATAAATAGATCGTAAGAAAAAAAAAAAAAAGAAAAAAAGGAAAAAATACCTTGCGAAGTGTCGTTGATAATGGCTCCATACCGTGCCGCTCGAAACTGATCCGTGTTGAATGTGTTTATTATAATTAGCGATACAAATAAGAAAACCAAGAGTCCTATTAACCATTTTCGTAGCCGCAGCCGGCTTTTGTATACTTTGTTATCAAACTCAAAATTGAAAACGCTACGCTCATTATCTAGCGTTGTTTTACCGCCACGAAATAGTACCTGGATATAAAAATTATCATTTAAATAAATAGATTCGATCGTGGATTGTTTTTAACGCGTATTGTTCTTTTTTCTTTTTTTTTATCACTGTGTTGCAGGTGATAACTCAAGCACTAGAGTCATCTCGACACGTGTTCTTTAGTGCATTGATGCAAGGCACGAAGTGAAAAAGATTTATAACTTTGACTGATAATAGTAGTGTAGAGATTAATTTCGGTTTTATATAGATAATTTATCTATGCGTGTCTGTCAAGTTATTCGATATATCCACCTACTTGATGAATACCGACGTTCATTTATTTATGAAATGATAAATAATTTTTATCGTTCGTTGTAACTATACTTATTTCTCGATTTACGCGGATCAGCCACGAAATTCTTTTTACGTGGAAGAAAATCGTAAAAGTACTGAAAAAAGAAAGTATTGAAAAACATAGCCTACACAAGTTACAAGAAGATTTATTTCACGTATATTTTCACAAAAAGATCAATGATAATCGTACGTTGGTATTTTACTGAGCTAGACTATCGCTTCTTCTCTATCGCGCAAAGAGTAATTACCAATAATGGATGAGAAAAAAGAAAAAACAACAGCGTGAAATGAGATCGCATAAATCGAAGCTGCGCCCAAGTTCGCGTAAACAGAGGGATTATTTACCGCGTCAAAGAAATGAGGGTGCTCTTGAAAATAATTTTCATTTAATAATTTCTCAATTTTATTAATACCATTAATATAAAAACTGTCCTAAAATTTCTGGTCCAAAGACACAGCAAACAATATATATACTATACTATACTACTGAATCGATCCACCATTCTTTATTCCGAAAGTTAACAGCCATTCAAAATTGTTTAATCATCTTCCCTTCGCGCTTGTATATTTTAAATTGACGTCACGAAACGTGCCGACAAAATTACTTTAGTTACGAGAATAAGAGAACAAACGAAATTGGTTTGATTTTGCAAAAGTTTGCGTTATGGTTTTCTAATAATTTCGCTATTTAGAGTGTAATACACATGTTTGTTATTGGAATTACGGGATTTCTAAGGTTTACTGTTGAGGCGAAGATAAGGATGTTTGGGTGGCTTACCTCGTCTTGGGAATGATCACACATGCCAGAGGAACCTTTCTTCCGAGCCACTTTTGTATGATTGAAAGACACCGTGGATACATGCGCATGTGGTGCAAAAATCTTATCGCAATATACGCCTCAAATTATCGTTACGTCATTGGAACAGATTTAAACGGTTGCAATTTGCGGCTGTACCTGCCCATAGAGCTGCAATATTCGAATTAATGCAAAACATAACACAACTCGCCGCATAGACAGAGCTCGACAATACATTATTATTCGTATCCCATCATCTCAAGTCAAACAAGAATAGAAAAGTAAAAAAAAAAAAAAAAAAGAAGGGGATAGAAACAGATGAGATTAGACAAAAGATAGAAGAAAGAGAGAAAATTCCAATTTCGCTAATTCTGGAAACGATTGCCAATGCTTACCGATGGGCTCCTTTGATTCTGTTTCCTTCACTCTCTACACCGTCAATCTCTATCGAAATGATCCCAAGTCCAGGCATCGTTGAAGAAATTTCATTCAAGCTTCTTAACACGTTTCTATCGTCGTAGCGAAACTCTTCCCGACTTGGCCGCGATTTGACAACAACCGGTTCGTCAATTGCTTCTTGCGAGCAGCTGCATTTAGATACATCGGCATGATCGATTACACCTGGGAGATCGTTTCTTCTTGGAGTTCGAACGGGGGGCGGGGGTCTCTTCGACGAAGCAGGAAATATCAGGCCGAACGAGGGTGTGTGCTTCTTGACGTCTCCTTCACGAGCGAGTACCTCGATCGGCAAATTTGCAGTTCGAAATATTCTTCCTACCGAGCTTTGAAAGATTTTTACCGGAGCAAATCGAATCGATTTACTCGTCCCCTTTTAAAAAATACTTTCGGTCTAAAACTAAACGATATAAGTATGTACAGACGTGTGTGTGTGTGTGCGCGCGCGCGCGTGTGTATATATATACATATATGTGTATATATATATATATATAAATATATATGTATGTATATATGTACATATATTCTCTGCGATGTTTGTACGAAGTTGGCGATGGTCTATCAGGGAAATTCGTCGATCTTTCAATTTGACACAGTTTAACGGCTCACTGAACGCCTCAATTCGACGTCGTCTAACGTCAGGAAGGTTTCAATTCAGTGCACTTTAATGTAACGAAGTTGTCGTTTCGATGCATTTTAATGAGAGGGTGGTGATCCGAGCCGAGTTTCTCGCTGCCCTCGCTCCGTGGCCGTTACCATCATCTCCTCCCCGTCTGTTTTCGAAAACAGGTCAGACCTGACGCGTCAATCCCATCCGGTGGTGTTTCCCTTCGACGGGCGAGACACACGTCTCTGTCCAATTCCCTGCAAGGAATTCCAGCCGATCGAACTCACCGAACAACTGCATATACAAACGAAACACGGTCGGATGCCAAAAATCGCAAGCGATCATTACGTCGCGTGTCACGTCATTGCGGCTGTTCACACTTTGCCACTGCTCCGCGTACAACGTGATCCTCGGGACACCGTGATCGAAACGATGGAACAATGTCGATGCAACTGGCAAACGATGGCACAACGGTGGTGGTACGGCGGTGATGATTTTAGAATTCGAGGGCGGCAGAACTTGCTCTTGACATGACGAGACACAGAGTGACGAGGCAACGTGGCGAGAGCAGCGTTTGGCGTTTGGACCAGTTCGATGTGATGGTAAAGATGACAGTCCGGGAACGGGAGCAGAGTCATCAGAGGGTGTACAGTCTTCTTTTCCTCATGTTCTCCAGGTGGCCACGTGGGGACCGACGTCAGTCCCCAATTCCCGGATGATTTTTAGGGCAGTGACGAGGAGGCGTTGCCGTTGCCGTGGCCGTGGCTGGGATTCTAGCGGAATGCATACAAGGGCCGTAGGCAGCGAGGAAACGAGAGGAGGAGAGACGAGAGAATCTGGTCGATAGACGCGGCGGTGCGCGCCCGCGCTCACCGTCTCTTCTGCACCTCCGCGATAGCTCGCCACCGGACAGTTAACAGCCGTTTCCTCTCGCTTTGGTCCAGCACCGGCTTAATAGCCCACCAAGACGGACAACTAGTCTATCTAATCGCGAAAATGAGCCCGAGAACGAATCTCGCTCGTTCAACGATCAGAATCGTTCGTCTCTCGGTCGGGAGAGAACCGTCAAATGGATCGAGCTTTGATCGAGAACGTTTGACTCGCGATCGATTTGCGCGTTGCTTTCCCATTGATAGATTTACGTGAATTCCGGGCTGATTTCAATTTTTTATCACCTTTTGTCGCCAAAAATAACGTCGTCTCAAAATCAATTCTCCCTCCGATGTGAAGTTTCTGTTAAATCTCATCTTTAATAAAAGATAGAATTTCTCATTGCAAGTGCAAGACGAAATATAACAATTAGTTTATCGGAAATAAGATGTAGCATTTTTTTTTTCCTTTTTTCTTTGGTCTTCAATTGTATTTCCGGTGCTATCAGTTTTTTTATAACGGAACTGCGTATTATCTCTAACATGATATACACACATTTGGCAAACTTTTTTCCTTTTTACTGTGAAAAATTTCCGGTCAGATAACCGGAGGAAGTATGTGATTTAAAAATCGTTTGCAAAGCACAAATTGCTTGAGAAACGATTTGAAAAAAATTATGTGATTAAATGGAATTGAAACGTGATAAAACGAACATTTTAATTGGATAACAAAACTAATCTGTGGAAAGTGAAATACAAAAGCATTCTTACTTTAATAATAGACACTTTTTACGAATATTTTGTCTCAACATGTTGCATCGAGTTTAAGATTATTTGTAATTAATTTACCTTACTTATTGATCGATCTACCTTCCATCGATAGTGTAACATATGTTGATGAGATAGCGAGTCTGTATCACAGACAGTTGATATAATAGGAATGCACACCTGTTTCGGCGCAAATGTATTCGACGGCTGGTAAAGTAGAGCGCACGCGAACCGGGTCGAAAGTAAATTTTAAATCGCGAACTTTCTAATCCGCGGCAATGGTATTCAACCATTATGTGTACGAAGAACATTGACATTTCACAGAGCAAATCAACAGCAATATTAATCTCCATGTATCAAAACGAAAATGGAAACACCAAATGCAACTCAAACTTCTCATAATAATTGTTTATTATTGAAGTGATATAGTTATAATGATTCGTAATTTAACGTAATTTAACTACAATGAGACAGGTTTCGCAACTAGCAAGAATCGTGTTTATACATGGATTATACAATATGTACAGAAAAACCTAAGATCGTACAAGCAATACTTTGTTTTGGACAACTTCACAGGACTTACAATCGGGAAATAGCTGCCAGCCTTTCCGTGCCCCCTTTCCCATCTTTTTCTTTCTGTTCTGTTCTTTTCTTTTTTTTTTTTTCTTAATTTAAAAACGATCATTGTGCAAGCACGCGAGACATCTGCACTCTTCAAACGTGTAAACGTTCCACTTAACTTACGAGACATTTTTAATAGCACACTAACGATTTACATCGACTTCTCTAACCCGACATTTTTTACGCTTATCGTACGTTTGTTATTTACAGCAGTGTTTATATACATGTATACATGTATATGTGTATACGAGCGCCGCTCTCGAAAGAGACTTTTGATTCTTTTTCTTTCTAAAAACTACCCTTCAAACTCTCGAACGCTCTCTCCCAGCATCATTTCCTTCCTTTCAACGTGAATTTATTTTACGCGTTACAATTTCAGTGTTGTTGTTTGTTCAATTCGTCATTCCATACCTGCGGGCTGAATCGAAAGTTATTTATTATCCGTCTATTTTGCAGCATGAATTGTCGCAGCTATTAATCATCGTTCCTGGCAATTATCCAATACGATTACTTTTACGAAATGAACGCATGAACCCCGCACGGATACGTACGTACGTTTGTCTCGATATGCTTTTCAACGAATTTCACGACTCGAACGTAAGAGAAGAGATTACCGATAAAAATGTGGATTCAATATTTCATTCGGATCACTACAGTCGTCGACTCGATTCTCATACACCGTAAGAATATTTAAAAATCGTTCGTTTTACCTTCTGTTCATTGAGCCGTTTGTTCAACACGTTCCTCGTTTTACACAGAACTGTTTGCTTTACTTTTCGAGATCGAAGACGTCAGTTTCTCCGAAATGACCACGTAGCAATCTGTTTGAATTATCCCGCCAGTATTAAGAAATTCGGAAGCAAAAGAATTCGTTTGAAGACTGTAGATATATCATTTTTCTCGAACACATACTTTTTTTTTCCAATATATATATATATATATTTGTTTCAATTTTCATGGCATGAAATTTTTGTCTGAAATTGGGCGAGTTTCCAACATCCAACGTCTTCGATCGTAATTACAAGTCATTTTTGGAACCTTTTTTGATTGACGCAAGTCAGCCATCGTCGAGACCGCGGTACATGTATTTACGCTCTCGCTTATCAATGAGAGTTATCCTCGAGTCGATGGAGCTCTTAAAAAGTTACCTCCTAAGCTAAGTTAAAAATCAGATAAATTACGTAAAGTGCTTAAATGGATACACGTATGCCGCTATCGTTACTTTTTACACGTTTCTCTTTACATATCGTATCGTATCTCGCCTATTATTTCTTACCTTTAATTATTTATTTCTTCTGTCGCATTTCATGTGGTTAAACGTACGAGAACATACAAGGAAAGCCATTATACACGAGAGTATTACTTTTCGAGTATGAGAACGAACGTGATCGATTGCACAGCCCACGATGCATGCACCTTCAGTCATGTCGTATTCAGATTTCGAGGCAAATTTTCTTCTGCAACTCGCCGTTGCCAATGACACGCTAATCGGAACAATTCTCTTTCAACGTCTCTCCTTCGTTACTGACGAATTTGGCATATTGTGTCACGGTTTCGAACGCGCGATGACTTTTTTTGATTTATCGTTAGAGTTCCACGATTCGTAGCGAACACGCCTTCAATCAAGCGAGAGAAATTATTGTTCGTGCGTTTCGAGATAATATTTTTTTTTTTTTTTTCTCTTTTTGAAGATATAATCCGGATTTCACGCGATGTGGAGATAAAAATTCTTCTCTTCAGTTTGGTTGTTTCCTTTCAAATTTCACAAATTTTCACGCTGTTGTTTTTTCGAAGCAATTTAAATACTTTTTCCCTTCTTTTTTTTTTTTTTTTTTTTCTTTTTTTTTAATTATTAACGAATCATCGTCGCAAACCAACAACAACGCTCGTCGTGGAAAATTCGGCGTAGAAACAGAAAGGGGAGGAAAAGAAAAGAAAAGAAAAAAGAAAAAAAAAAAAAGACACGAATTTTCACTGTCACCGGAGGATCGATTGAGTGTGTACGAACAATGGAACAACAAGTCGAATAAAGTTCGACCGAACGAGAATGTTCGGGAGCTAGGGAAAAGACTCGAGATCGATGGGTATCGGGGGAGAACGACGTCAGCTGTGTTTCCGTATAAAATAACGACGGGGGGACACGTTCGGCGGTGCGTGCTGTACATCGAGTGTAAATAATAATACTATGATACAAAGTATAAGTACATTGGTTTAAATGATTGCAGGCTGCTCCTCTTATATCACAGCGAGGGCGCTGCCGGGCCCGCTTCGAAAGTAACTCCTAGAAACGACGTCCTCTCGGAAAAAAGAAAGCGACGCAAAATACACTCGCACGTGTATACAACAACTCGCGCATTCATACATACCCCTTCGCACCGATAGAATATTTTTTTATTTGTATATTCATATTTATATATTTATATATATATATATTTATATTCATATTTATATTTATATTTATATATATATATATATATCATCTTCTTTCTTTATGTATATTATTTATATCTCCCTGTACGGGGTATCTTGCGTAACCGCGGTATCCGCGAATTATCCTCGTTACCGTTTGCCCGAACTAAAAGTCAAATGCCAAAAGTCAAATGCTAAAAAAGACACGAACGCGGACCGGAACGCATTCCGGCCGGACACATTCCGAGATCTCCGAAGTGATGGACGTTGACGCGCCTGTGTCTCGAATCGGGGAGAGGTGGTTGATGCTCGTGCGAACGCGAAAGAGAGACCACCATCATCACTACCACCACCACCACCACCACCACCACCATCACCACCGACCCAGATTGAATCGGCGATACCGATTAGGCGATATACCCCGTAACAGGCGCATTCTCTAATAATGTTAACGTACGAGATAATCCTAAGTGAGGTGACCATCACTGTCGCGCATGGACGGTCAGAGTATGGAGGGCCAGGACGTCGCGGCACCACGTGTCTTGCGGCCCTCGTGGACTCAGTCTAGGCACCGCGTCCGTCGTCCCTCGGTGCGAAAGCACGTGTTCGCGGGGGGCAGGGGGGAGGGGGAACAGTTCTCAAGAGGGACCCAGAGGGTTGGTTGGGCTGTCGGGGGAGGCATGACACCGTGACACGCTGGCCGTCATCAGCCGTCGTGCGTGTGCCTTGCAAGGTCCTCTCGAACGCGTTTTAAAGACTAGTGTGACAATAGGAACATGGTATCTGCTCTGGCTCTGGTGATCGAGAAGGATATGTCGTCGGACGTTCGGCTCCCGAGTCCTTCGGCTCGTGAAATGCACTGAAACTTGCTCTCTTACACACACATACACATACACATACACACGCATACGCACTCGCACTCGCACTCGCGCACACACACCACACACCACTCTCTGTCTCTCTGTCTGTCTATGTGTGTGTGCGTGTGTGTGTGTGTATGTGTGTCTATGCAACAGCTCCAGGACGGAGTTCAGTCACCGGAAACGTGAAGCCTCGAGGAAGAAGGATATGTGTCGTCGTCATCGTCGATCGAGGTTCACGTGGCCAGTCCTTCACCCCTGGCGGCCGGCGGCGGCGGTAGTCGAGCCGAGGGCGGTGTCGAGTTACTTTCCGACCTGGCCGGCGGTTCTCTGTCGAAGTGATGCTGAAGAGCGTCCCCCGTCCACGAGGACACGTTCGCGTTGTTGTTCTGACTGCTGCTACCGTTCGATCCTGGCGTGCCTGGCGAGTGAGACGGCGACGGCGTTTGGAACAGCATCGACCCGGACGGGATGGATGATTTCCCGTCGAGCAGCGGCCCGTTGCTGCTCGCCGCCATCGGTTGCTTGTCCAGGGGGAACCCGGCACCGGCAGCGTACACCGAGCCAAACAGACCGGCGTACTTGCCGGCGGCCACCGAGTGGCTCGGCAGGCCGTTGTTACTTTGTATCACCGAGATCTCGTTCAGCTGTAAGTATAATGCACGTCGACTGGTTAGCTTTATTCGGGGGCAATTACCTAGGGAGAAACAAAAGGGAGAAACAATCGTTAATCGTCCCGATTTTGCGTTGTGATTTTTTTTTTTTTTTTTCTGTTGCTGGGCTTGCAGCCCTTTGATCGCTTGCGCCACGCACGTCGAGAATTTGTTCCAAATTGCAACGTTTTCTCAGTTTTAGATGTATTTTAATGTAACGCAAGGCAAAACAAATGACAAGTTTGTTACTCCTTAATAATTTCTATCCAGTGACGCATCGACGAGTTCAAAAGAAAGAGAAAGCGACGATTTTATTGTATACGGGTTCGGTCACTCGTTATGGTCCGCGAATCAGTTGCCGGCGCAGAGGGGTCAACTCTCTTTCAGCGGGTCGCGACGTTTGTTTTTGCTCGAATGTCAGACTCGGATTGTCTGTTACTCGAGGTCATTTCGATGTACCAGCTGTTTATATTGAAAGTGGTCCATTCATCTTTAAATCAAGATATTTAATGGCTTTTGATAAATTTAAAAATATTGATAACTGATAATTGATGGTATGATAAATAAAGTTTTTGTGTTTAATAATAAATAAGTAAAGTTTTTGTGTTTCTAAGGTGTATAATTTACCAACCCAATTAGTATGATATACATTGTTTAGAAAATAACACGTTTTCCATGCCTATAAATGGGCTTGAGACACTTTTAAAATTAATAATTTAAAATAAAATAAAAAATAAAAAAATAAGAAATAAAAAAAATAATAAATAAGAAATAAAAAAATGTTACAATTTTCTGTTACAATTCAACGTCATTAAAGTTTCTTGGTCTCAATCGACGCGGTAGTATATTCAGAGTCAATGCAATTTTGAATAGTGCATCCTCATTCGTTGATGTTTCATAGAACATATTTTTATATGGTTCTGTTCTCAAAAATCGCATTCAACATATTTCTAACCAATTTAACCTTGTAAAAAACGAAATCCTCTATACTTAATGGAATTATTATTATTTAAAAAAATCACTATCCGAGCTAATCGAACACTACTGCTCTAACAATAAAAAAATATAGCTGTTATCTCGTAAAATTTTACTGTACAATAACACTTTACATTTGAAACTCTTCAAATGGGAGCTTAGGCTTACAAAATAAAAATCTTCTGTCGTTCTATCAACCAGATAATCATCTGTGTAGAAAATCTCAGTGATTTTAAATATATATTAGTTACTTCATTTGTTTAAAACTGAAAATAATAACGTAATATTAAAACAGCTTGCTTGATTTTTTTTTTTTTTTTTTGGAAAATAAACTTGGGCCACTTTCAAAATAAACGGCTCAATTTCCTTCATCTTTGAAGAAAATCTTTATACGCAACATACGAGTGCCAGAGTAAAAAAAAATCTCCTTTACAAAAGAAACGCGACAGTTGACGATAACCACTCACTTTCTGCTGCACGCCGTTAAGGAATGGCGCGGGTAGATACGGGTAGAAAAGATCCGGCCGTCGCTGGAGGAACTCCGAGTCCTTGGGGGTGATGGGTAGGGGAGGAAGGTCCAGGGACATTCGACGACCTCGCCGAGAGGCTCCGTTGGTCCACATATGAGTACCCATGTGTACCTACGGTCAGAAACGAAACGCACCTCCAGTCAACGCGATTCTGTCAGCCATCTCTCCTGTCAACGGTGTCGCTGATCTTTCATCGAGCCTTTTCCCTTTTTCCCCCCCTTGTTTTACTGTACGTTACGCGTCAGCGTTAGTACAAGCGGCTTTAGCAGCTAGCTGGTGTTAGTGAATAAACTCGAAGAGAATTCAGAGACACGAGGATAGCGGGGTAGAAGGAGAGAGAGAGAGAGAGAGAGAGAGAGACAAAGAGACGGACGAGAGAGAAAGTAACCGAGAAAGAGGGAACAAACGAGAGAAAGACACAAAGAGAAAGAGAATGAAAGAGGAAGATATCACATCGAGAGAGAGAGAGAGAAATAAATAGAGATAGAAAAGGGAAAAATGATGTGTGTATACCTTGAGATTGCCCTTGGTGGTGAAGGCCTTCTGGCAGACGGTGCATCGGAACGGTTTGTCCCCTGTGTGAGTTCTCATGTGGATCTGCAGCGCCGAAGATGAGGAGAAATTCTTATTGCAAATCTGGCACAAGTGTTTGCTCGGCACGCCTGCAAATACACACACAGAGTTTCGCTGAACAGACCCTGATACAAGTTTAACGAAGGTTTTTTCAAGCTTGTCCCTTTTCTTCGAGATAGATAGATAGATAGATAGAGAAAGAGAGAGGGAGGAGATAGAGAGAAAGAGTGAAAAAAAAAGGAAGAAAGAGAGAAAGTACGTATGTTTGTGTGTATATGTGTGTAATTTTGGACAGAGAGCCGATGATCGGCGAACGTTCAGACGAAAGGAAGAGAAAGAGAAAGAGAGAAAAAGGAACCTGCCACCAAAGGAAGAGAGCACGTGGTGGTGAACAGAGAGAAGCACAAGCGAGAGTGCACGGATTAAGCGAAGCTGGAATACATACATACACGTAAAGTAACACTGGCTACCCTCGCGGGTTTCGATTCGCTGGTAGTGTAGCGTGAAACAGTCGAACGTTGCTGCGAGCGAGAAGCCTCCAGGAGCCGTTTCGAATTCGCGTTCGTGTGCGCGCGCTCGATGAAGAAGCAGACTGACTCGGGAGCGACATTTGCGACGGTATTACTTACTGGCTGGTCTCTTTGGCGCTGGCAGCTCCCCCTCTGGCGGGGATCGTTTCACCGCGATGCCCTGCTCCATCGAGGTCGGCGGCATCGGCGGCGGTGGCGGCGGCGGCGGCGGCGGCGGCGGTGGCGGCAAGCTCGAGTCCTCCGCGCACATCGGGCTTCTCGAGGTCTCGTGCTCCTGCGACTGCTGCTGGGTGTGTTGCTGCTTCGAGTCGCTGAACAAGTGCGGCGGCATGTCGCGGATCTTGTGCGTCAGCATGTGCTGCTTCATGTTCCCCTGTCGGAAGAAAGAACATGGCTGAGGTTACACCCTCGGAGGTCTGGGACAGCCTCGTTTTCGATTCAATCGCTTGATCGATCACACCGCTTTGTATGTATTGTGTTTTTCGCGCGGCACGTTACTTTTTTGAGAATACGTAAGGTTTGTTCGATTCTAGAACAGTAGAGTAGAGAAGAAAGTAAGAGAGAGAGAGAGAGAGAGAGAGAGAGAGGAAGAGAGAAAGAAAAGGAGAAAGACGCAAAAACCGGGAGAACGAGATGAATACATAGTGGTGTTATATCAAGGTTGTTGTTTCATTGTCAAAATACAGCAGGCTCTTACCAGGAGGCCGTGCGCCGAGGGTAGAAGTCCGAGGGCGGGCGACATCAGCGGGGGTAGGCGGATGGCAGGATAGAGAGGCGTGAGCCCCCGCCCCCCTCCGGCTCCTTTCCGCCCCCGGCTCTTCCGATCCTCGGGTCGCCGCCGCCGCCTGCGTTTCGCTTTTTCTCGACTACTGGCGCACGCTGTTCCGAATTGAGGATCGGGCGAACCGATCGAACTGTTAGCGGGCAACGGTTGAGACGCACAGATGCATGCTTGCTGCCCGGAACCATCGTTCTGAAAGTATCGTAGAAAAAAACAGATACAGAGCTGACTCCGACCTGAAGTCCGACTTGACTCGACAGGAAAGTGTTTCGATCACGATTTTTCCTTTTTTCTTTTCTCTCTCATTTTTAGTCGTTTAACTACGTTAACGCGCCAACTTGCAAATATCGTGCGAGTTTGCGTCGCTGTGAACCTTCCCATTTTCTAGAAGCAGAACGTAGCCACGAGTGCCACGTGTCGAGCGAAGGAATAACTGTGCAACGATCGGGATTCTGGTCGATACGTTGTTTCGACGGTAATCGCAAGAAACGCGAATGAAAATTTGAACAATTTAAATACCAACTTTTACCACAAGGATGAAAGAACGGGAAAAGGATTTTCCAAACTGCGTTCGACTCGAAACGAAAAAAAATGACAGAAATGAAAGAAAACAAAAAAAAAAAAAAAAAAATCGCCATCGATCCAGTCGCTGCGCACAATTCCTCCCCGACGTCTTCGTCTGGCGAGCAGCAAACAATTTTCTCGAAACAAGCGCGTCCAATTCGATCGTCCCGATCCCATCGAACGAACGGTTTTTAGAAAATATTTACGTTACGTTACCTTCGTGGAAAATCCCCTGTCGCATATGCTGCATTTGAACGGCCGCTCCTTCGTGTGGCTCCGATAATGGATCTCCAGCGCGGAATTGCACGCAAATGTCTTGTAGCAGATATTACATGTGGTGTTTCCACGCACTGTAACAGATCGTACTTCTTTACAATTGCCTCGTGACACTTTCACACGCTTCTACCGTCCGTGAAAGCAATTTGTAACCGCGATTCGACTCTCCGGTAAGCTATCCGTCACGAACGCCAAAGAGAAAGAGAAAGAAAGAGAGAAAAATAGAGAAAGAGAGAGAGAGAGAGAGAGAGAGAGAGAAAGAGAGAGTGTGTGTGTGTGTGTGTTTGTATGTGACAGAGAGAGAGAGTGAGTGAATGAGTGAGAAAGAAAGAGAAGGGGCTTTAATCTAATCGTCAAACGCGCGCGCAAACGCCAGCCGAGACGTTGGCAAACGCGAGCCTCCGGAACCCGAAGGTGATCGTTATCCTCGGTGTCGGTACTGCCTCGAGAACACAACGTTTATACCCGTCTTACCATCGTGACAGTTTGACGGAAGGAGTGAAATGAATCGTACAGGCGGCAATCCATTTTTCCAAAAGAAGTTTATTTATTATTCGCCAAGTGTCCATAGATTTTTTTTTTTTCTCGGTCTTTCGACCACGGTTTGCGCCGAAAAGAAGAGATACAAAAACACTCGCATCTGTGTGTACGCAAACTCTGCCTAGTTTCTTTTCTTTTTTTTTTTCTTTTTGCCCTATCTGAATTTCTTTTCTTCTTTTTTTTTTTTTTTTTTGTTGCTTTTGTTTCGTACGCCGCAGAATCATTTATCGCACATAGAAAGAGAGATAAGAGTAGTTAGACAGAGAGAAAGAGAGACAGAGAAAGACACAGAGAGAGAGAGAGAGAGCGAGAAACGGAAAAATAAAGTTTTGCAACACAGACACGGTACAAACAAACAAACAAACAAACAAAAAAAAAAGAAAAAAAAAGACAAGAGAGTGTGAAAAGCTTGGGAGGGTAGGAGTGCTAGGTCCGGCTACACCACAAAAACGGGATACATGTGGATGTACAATAGGGTTGGACAAACAGGCGGACGGAGTCGGAGAGACTGGCGTGGTTGAGGATCGGTGAGATCGAGAGTGTCAGATCGATCGGGAGGTGTAGCAGGAACTGCAGCTCGCCCTGTTGCTAGCAGCGCCTACCTGCTGGCCCGCCGACAGCCAGGCCGAGCGGATTGTAGGTGGACGTGGCGGCCAACACGGCGGACGTGGTGAGGGAGGCCAACGGTCCGGCGGCAGAGACGCTCCCCGGTGTCACGGCGTTCATCGAGTTGACGACGCTGTTTATGCTCGAGGAGCCGATGCCGCTGGTGGAGGGTGGCGACGAGACCGCCTGCAGCAGGCCTGCAAACATGCCGAACGGGTGCGGATGGTGCGTGGTGCTCGTCTGCGGCGGTGGCGTTGGCACCGACGCGACCGAGGCCGGGGTGGACGAGGCACGAGGTGTCAGGTCCAACGGGGCGCTTGGGTTCGGAGGGCTGTTGCTCTTCTCGCTGCCGTTGTAACGGTGAAACGGCGGCGACCTGGCGGCGAGGTTCCCCACCGTGGACGTGGCGGTCGTCGTGATCGTTCGCACCTGGTTCTCCAGGGCGGCCAACGAGGTCGAGAAGCTCGGCAGAGACATCGCGTCTTTCTGCGTCTCGTTCTCCTCGCTCTCGCGATCCTGCTCGTCGTCCACGTCTACACCGCGATTCACCACGTTGCATCGGTCGTCGTCCTCTCTGCGATCGTCCTCCTCGTCGTCCTGGTCGTCTGCTTCCTCGCTCTGCTCCTCGGAGTACCTCTGCTGCTGCTGCTGCTGCTGCTGCTGCTGCTGTTGCTGTTGGTGGTGGTGGTGGTGGTGGTGGTGTTGTTGTTGCTGATGATGATGCTGTTGCTGTTGATGATGAAGATGATGATGATGCTGATGCTGCTGGTGGTGCTGCTGTTGCTGTTGCTGCTGCTGCTGCTGCTGAGGCTCGTCTTTCGAATCCATGTCGTTCTCTTGTACTACCTGTCTTTCCAGCGCTTGCTGTCGAGTCGGAGGGAAAGTCAAGGGGAACCCGGCACCGGCCGCCGGATGAATCGGTGGGAAGCCCTGTGGGAGGAATGAGGCCAACGGGTGATGCGAGTAACCCGGTGGGAATTCGTTCACCTCTCCCGCCTGGATCTGCTCCGGGCTGAGCTCCGTCGGCTCGCCGGTGTGCAGCCGTATGTGCTGCTGCAGCACCAGCGCGTTGGTGAATTTCTTGTGACAGACCGGGCACTGGTGCAACATTCTCAACGGCGGTTTCGCCCTGTGCACGCCCATGTGAGTCTTGAGGTTGCCCTTAGTGGTGAACGCTCGGCCGCAGATCTTGCACTTGAACGGCCGTTCGCCGGTGTGGGTCCTGTAATGCATCTGAAGGGCGCTCTTGCAGGAGAGGACCCGATGGCAGATGACGCACTGGTTAGGATCGGTCAGCTTGTGCTCGATGTTGTCGACCAGCTGCTGCAACTTGGACGTTTCCGAGGTCTTGGTTATCTCGATCAGACTTTCCCACGAGTTGTCGTTGCTGCCCGGCCGTGGCAACAGGCTGGAATAGATGGCCGGATCCTTGGCCGGGTCGATCATCTCGTTGGCGGAAACGTTGGCGGTCGCGTTTACGGCGGTCGGTGCGGCGTGATGCGCTGCGGGTATTTGATGGTGCGCCGGCGGCCCTGGGAACAAAATCCCCGCGAAGGACGTTTGAAGGCTTCCGCTACTGGCGCTACTGCTAGCAGGGGATGCTCCGGGATACGCGACAATGTGTTGCGGCAAACGACCGATGGTCCCACGACCGGACAAATTCTCCGGCTGTTCCTCGATCTCCTCGTCGACCTCCATGTCGCCGTCTCCTTCCAGTCGACCGCTCATCTTACTGTCCATGCTACAGTCTTCGTACGTCTGCGGTTGTGAGGATGGATTGACGGAGGATTGGGGTGAATTTAAATACCGTCTGGCCGCCTCCTCGAAGTCCTCGCTCTCCTCCTCCGTCGGCTCCTCGGCCTCCTCCGGCTCTTTCTTCGGCGTTATCCTCTCGGTCGGTTGTTCCTGACTGGTTGGCCGTTGTTGCTGTTGATACTGTTCCTGAACGTTGGGCGATCGTTGTTCGTGCTTGATCTCGTCCCTCTGCTCGAGCTGCTGCTTTTGTTGTTGTTGTTGTTGTTGTTGTTGTGATGATTGTTGTTGTTGTTGTTGTTGTTGTTGTTGGTGATGGTGGTGGTGGTGATGGTGGTGGTGATGGTGATTGTCGTGAAAGGAATGACGAGAGTTGGACGCAACCGCGGGGGAATGTGGGGAGGTGGTCGGGGCAGTGGTAACAACAACGGGTTTGCTCAGGTTCTCCGGCACGTCCTGATCGTCCCGATGAGCGATAACCGGCGATCTGTACAGGGGTGGTATACCGGGAAGGGCCAGGCTGAGCGGCAACGGCGGCTGAGGGGGTAAAAAACCGTGGGCCGCGGTCGGGTGAAAGGTGGGATGGTGAGAGGGCGGTGGCGGCGGCGGGGACGGCATCGGTCTCTGACCGGAGGCGATTTGCTGTAGCAAGGGTGGATGGTACTTGTCCAGGTGTTCCGGAACGGGATTCGGGTTCATCTTAACATGTGGAAACTTGGCCGTATGCCTCTGGAAGTGGACCTTCAGGTTTCCTTTCGTGGTGAAGCGGCTGCCGCAGACGTTGCATTTAAAGGGTCGCTCACCTGTGTGCGATCGTATGTGGATCTGAAGCGCCGAGTCGCTGCCGAACACCTTGCCGCAATAGCGGCACCGATGCTTGAAGAACGGCTCCCCGCGACCGCTACCACCGGACTTTGAGTCGTACGGTGAGAGACGGGAGCCTTTCCCACCCCTGAACGCCAGCTCGTCCGCCAGGTTATTCGCCAGCAGTCCCTGGCTCGCGTTGTCCAGCACCTCCTGCGCCCTCTTCTGCAACATCTCCAGCGTGTTGGGCTCGTGCAACGGCGGTGGATCGGTGTTGGTTATTATCGACGAGGCTAGGGAAGAACTGATGGAGCAGAGGGGCGGTATCTGGTGCGACATGGGCACCTGGCTGCCGGTGCTGCTGGTGGCGGTCGTGCCGGTCGCGTTCGACGAGACCAGCGGGATATTCAACGGTGACGCGCTGCTGGTCGGCGTCGGCCGTTCCTGCGTGCTCAGGCTCGGCGTCATCGGAGCTGGCGAGGTTTGCTGATGCGACGGCGGACGCGACGACGGCGGCGACGTCAAGCTGGACAGCGGTTTCGGCTGGATGATCGGCGACGGTGATATCTCCTTCGCCGTGTCCGACGGCTCGCCGGCCGTTGCCGGCTGTTGCATCGTTTGACTGTGCGTGATCGACAATTGCTGCTGCAGTTGGCTGATCAGCTGCAGCTGAAACACTTGTTGATGCTGCAGCGTGTACAGGGTGCTCTGCAGCAGCGCCAAGTCTTGGAGCGCGGCCTCGGTGTCGGCGCCACCGGCCAACGCCGTCGCCGCGAACTGTGCGACCGCCACCTTCGTGTTCTGAAGGGCTTCCAGGGTGACGTGACTAGTCCCAGCGGGTGGGAACAGGCCGGCAGCGGTGCCACCCTCTACGAAATTGTTATTGTTCTCCGCGTCCTGTCTGTGATGCATCTGCTTGCGCGATCCTTCCTCGTCCTCCTCTTGCTCCTCCTGATCGTCCACGCCTTCCTCTTCGTCCTCCTCCAAACCGTCCTCCTGATCCTTTTCGTCCTCGTCGCCGTGATGCGACCTGGACGCCGTGAGGTCCACGGCCTCGTCTCCGCCAGCTCCTCCACCGCCACTCTCCTCGCCATCCGACGTAAAGTCATTTTCCTCTCCTGCAACACAGATGTGGCGGCGCCACCGTTAGCCTTTCTCGTTCGTTCGTCGACGACCTCTTTCTTTCAAATTTCATCGGACAGTTATTTTTTTTTATCTACTTTACAGCCCGTGTCTCGTTAAATCGTTCGATAGTTTGTGTCCCGTTTCGAGATGTAAAAGCCTGTTTTGAGCTACGCGTCGCTTCCTGCCTCGACACCACGTTCAGTTTCATCCGTACCCCCCCGACGTTTAAATCGTTTGAACGTGTCGCGCTAATGGCGAAGAAAAATCAGAAAAAGAAAGAAACGAAATACGTAGGTATGGTATTTCGATCCAACTGAGTTTCGAGAAACTCAGTTGACAAACTAACTTTAACGCATCGAGACGAGTACAAAGCTGCTTCGCTGGTCGTGAAATTGTTACGAGAGATGAGAGAAACGAACTGGCGACTAATTGTAAGATAAGTTTCGTTGCTAAATGATCAAGACCTGGTATCTGATACTTGCAGCTGGAACGTAAGAAGGTGTTTTGAGACACCTTTCGTTGAGCAAAACGAAATTTTGTCATTCGTACGTGACGAATGTGACGAAAAAGCTTACGTCGAACAGACTGTGCTGGGTCAATTGCTCAACTCGAGGTTTTTTAATTTAACATTTCAACTGGACTAAAGGCCGATACATCTCGAGACTCGAGGAGAAACGTCACGATTGCGACCGGTTTAACGCTCGAGGATGAAAGCTCATAAGGTTTCGCTTCACGATCGAAACGAACGCGGTCTCGTCAAGGCTGGTGCGGGACGACGCGCGATATTTAAAATGTGCACGGTGCCGCGGCGATACCGAGGCGGAATGGTTAATCGGACTCGCACCAATTTTATTTGCCACCGATCGTTTTGTACAGACTTTGCTCGGAAATTGGTATCAGTCAAAAAAAAAAAAAAGTAGGAAAGGAAAAAAAAAAATAGTCTGTCAATGGGCGAGAGGTGCGCGAAGAGCCCCGCAGAGAGGATCGCGCGCACAATCGTGCAAATGATAAGGAACGGCGGCGTGGCGATTAGTATTCCGCGGCACGGCGGAAACTTTTACAACACCGGGGGGTCAATGAAAAATGGAAATCGCGCGATTACTATTCCCGGCGGGCCGGTCGGACCCGTTCGAATCGGTGCACCAGTTACAACAACGTTTCACTCGCCACCCGGGACCGCGACCTCGCCGGCTAGGAAACGATCGTCCACTGGAAAAACTCTCGAGTCCGAATTAATCCGGCTAGAACTTTCTATCCGTCCTAGTGCATGCAGGGAGGGTTTGCTCGAACGCGTGGAGAAGCATCGTGACACACATGTGGGAAAGACGGGAAAAACGAGTGGAGGGGACAAAGAGAGAGAGAGAAAGAGAGAGGGAAAGAGCGAGAGGGAGAGGGAGAGAGGTCAAACTCGCGGGAAGCGCCGGCCGATTGGAGACGCGCGGTTCAAGGTCAACGGCGGTGTGTCCGCGTACCGGAAAATCGGTGGTAGGAGAACCTGGAGGGCCTGCAGTTGCCCTGCCTGATCCCCCGGCACTCGAGGCGGCGCGTGATGCTCCATCTCATGAGCTGCATGACTCGGAACCAACCGGTTGGTTCGCCGTTCCGAGGAGGAACCAACTCTGTCGCGCGTGGCGCCGACTCGCGGTGGCCCGTCAAAGTTGCGGCCGCGTTTCGGCCGGACGTCCGTCTCTCTGCCTCGGTATCATCCGGCAAGGACGAGAACCGACTGATCGCTTGGTAAAGAGCCGGCCTGGGCGTAGGTACCGTCGCGCAACGTCACGCGCGTCACCCTTTCCCCTATCTCGCCGACATCCCCACCACCGCCGCCGCCGCCCCGCCACCTCACTCCAACGTGCGCAAGCCTGTACACACGATTATGACAAGGAAGGCGGCGCGGTTCATAAATCAGGGGGTAAGGGGCGGTGCCTGGCTGAACCACTCAGCGCCCGGTTATTAATTATTATACGGAGGGGAAAACCACCCCCTCCCCATCCGCCGCCCCTCCCTCCCCACCCCTCCCTCCCTCTCGTTCCTCGTCAGCGAACCTTCCGCCTACGCCAAACCGACCGCGACTTCCGGATCCACGACCAGCGAATCGGCCACCAGGCTGATACACGCTCCACGCTTCGTTCCGCTTTCGATTTTGTTCCCCAGTCTATCTCAGTCTCTCTCTCTCTCTCTCTCTCTTGCCTCGAGAGGCAAGAAAGTGTCAACTCTCTCTCGTCCCCTGGAATGCGTCTAGACGTTTCTTTTCTCGCCTCCTGATCGTCCCTTCCTCCCTCTCTCTTTCTTTCTTTCTTTCTTCCTTCCTTTCTTTCTTTCGTCCGGAGGGAGTACCCGATTTGAAAACGAGAACAGAGATTTAGGAATTTTGACCGCGAGACGTACGGGTGGTGCTCAACGCTACAACTATCGACGATTGAAACGTAAACGTTGGAGAAACGTTGCGATACAATGGAGAGTATACAAACTTCTGTTTATACGTTTTGTGAAAACATTATTTAAATCTTGAAAGCTGTTTTGCTTTTGCAACGAAAATTATAGATTATAAATTTATCACAATATGTCATTTTCAGCACAACTTTGTGTAAACATTGTGTACGGCACTCGGCGCGCCCAAGGCCCGCACATTTTTGGAGCAACATGGAAACTTTGCAACAATTCGTGTATGCACTTCTTTAATTCACATTGATAAAAATATTCTCAAATATTACTATATATTTTTTACAGTGATATTTAAAAATCTATTTATTATGTATTTTAGATTTTAACTATTATTTATTTTGTATTTATATTAAAATAGCGTTACAATAACTTCTAATCGAAAGCTTCGATACGTAGTATATATTTCGTGTTTTGCGTTCTACTTGGAATCTCTGCAAATGATTTATACACTCTGGAAACGTCGAAATTTTCGTCCCTTTTAACCAATACGATTCAAACTTGTCATTTTCGTAGAGTTTAAAACAGAGACTGAAGACTAAAATATTTTGAGGTTTAGGTATTATATCCAGAGACCGAAACCGAAATATTGTGGGGTTTAGGTATTATACTGGTATTTGCTCCCATATTATCGTAATATAATCGCTATTTGGGAAATCGGTTTTAATACTTGTGTTTCACAACGGAAAAAATACCGAAATATATACCGGTACAGTACTGCTTTACTGACGAAAACACATTTTTTTTCATTTTCTACGTACAGTGACTCTTGTTAATATTCGGACATTGTGCTATTCGAAATATTGTTGTGGATTTCGATTGTTTATAATAATAAATTTAGATTACTTTTTTAATAATATAATAGAACATTCATTATAGTTTATAGTGACAAATTTTATTTATTTATTGCACATACTTTTCTTAATATCAAACAATAAACTGAACCATATCGAAATGTAGCGTGGCAAAAATATTCGGACATTTGAAAAACTACAATATTTGAACCTGAAAATTGTTATACAACATAAACAATAATTAATATTTTGTTAGGTAGCGTCTGCTAGCCGCTAATATAGATAAAATAAAAAAAAACTAATAAAAAAAGTTAATAAAAATAAACAAAGTGCACCTGTATAAGCGTCATCAAATTTACTATCGGCAGCATTATAAAAACATTGAATCATTGTCTCCTTTTCCTTTTCTAATATATTAATATTTTATTTACCGGTATTATACCGAAATACATCTACCGACCTAACATCGTTTTGATAGCATCATACCTAAGTATTCAAACCTAATCGAATAGTAACCTAAAAATACCGTTATTTTATCCGTAACACCGATTCGGTCTCTGGTTTAAAAATCGCCAAATTTCGAAAATCCTTTGTATCCCGCTGCCCCATTTTGTCCAAAAATTGCAATATTTTTCTCAGTTTTAAGTATATATTTAAGTATGACCCGGGTATTTATGAATAATAAATTTATTACTTCTCAATAATTTCTATCCAGTGACGTCATACCGACGGGCGCAAAAAGGAGGCGACGAATCGATGTATACGGCTCGGTCGTTCGTTATGGTCCGCAGTCGGTTGCCAGCGCGGGACGTTTCCCAAGGAAACAGCACAGTCTAAATCAATCCCGACGTTTGTCAACGGCATCCTCGAATTTCGAAAGAGAAAACCAAGTACGTTGTCTCGACTCGAGAGAAAAAATGGAAACTTGTGTTTAACCGACAGTGTTTTACCCGGTCTATCTCGTCGAACGATTTCGCAAACATATATATATATATATATATATATATATATATATACGGCGTTTTCGTGTAATTTCACGATTCGACGACGAACGACGTGATCGATGATTCGCGAGGCAATCGTGACAAATTAAAGATCGATCGTTGGCCGCAAGAGCGTGTTAATTTGCTATCTAATTGATCGACTGGTGAACGGAGGCTTCACGGAGACAAACGCAGCAGCAGCAAAGAGAGAGCGAGAGAGTATAATGGAGAGCGTTAGAGCTTTCCGAACAAAGAAACAGCTGGGCGTGTCGATGCGCGTCAACTGAATAAAACCTTACGGCGGATTATCTATACCGGGCATGAAACAGCTTTAACTCGATTACTCGTTATCGGGCGCGAACACTGGTGTTTCGTACGGCTTCGTCGACAGTTTCTGAGACCTCTCGAGGACTCACGCCGCGGAAACATTACGAAATACTATCTTGAAAAAAATAAGTTTCCCTTCGATCACGCGTCGTACTCTTCTCTCTTTGCAAAATTGACAAAATTCTCGCTCGCGTTTGCGATTCGCATCGATCTCGAGCAAAGTCAATTTCCAGCGATCCGGCCATTAGCGTTGAAGAAGAACCGATATAAAAAATATATATAATATACAGGATGGATTATCACTCGTAGCGAAAAATGTTTCAGAAATGAAGTTGAATGGCTTCGAGAGCGGCACATTTTGATGATACTGGGTTTTCTTGTAGACGAACGTGTAGATGACATATGAAGGTTGTTAACGTTTCTTTAAATGGAATCATGTATTTTTTA